GTCTGTCAAGTGGTCGCTTACGAGAGGTTAAAAACAAAAGAAAATTTCAATTTTTTTAGCTCTGAAAGTGGTCACAGTCGCTTACAAAGAGGTGGTCGCTTAAAAGAGGTTTTAGATATAGTGATTTGACTTGGAAACTTTTGGTATTTTGTAAAACTGTCATCGAGGAGAGGAGGTCGCAACCGAAGGTTCGACTGTATTTCAGTTAAGCGCGCCACGACGGGAATATTGCTACTCCTCCTTGAAGAAGATGCCCAGTGCATTTCAGGCAGGCCCTTAATACTATGTTAGGTAACACAACAGCAACATTTCAAGGTTCTGTAAGAGTCAAATGTCTTGCTTAAGAACACAACACAACACAATGACCCTGACCAGATAACTTGTCGTCGCCCGGCCAACACGCTTTCCTTGAAAACATCAAACCTCCACCAAACATTGGCAAAGCTAACGACGGCATTGATTCACTCACAAGTAGAATGCTTCGAGTTTTATTGGTTCGAATTTCAACTGAAGTTTTGAAATTTTTGGAAAGAGGTTGGTAAATTGGAAATCAAAATCACCTTTCAAAAAATATGTAAATAAATAAATGGAAAATTTACACTTAACAGAAATAAGATGATCATTTCGCGTTTCACGAAAACAAAAGAAGAGCCAAGTAAAATTGTATTGATACAAAATCCTTTTAACAATTCCAAAACACTTTAACCTACACTGACTTATCTCCCCACCCACTCCTCGCTCAAACGCGAACAGAAAATGGCTAATGAGACGGATACAACTTTCCGTAACGTTTTTCCGTTCCTTGTTGGATAATTTATTAATTTCTTTTTGATTTGCGAGTCAGGAGTCTACAACAGTGGACGATATCAAATCCATTCGCTGGATACTCGCTTTATCTTATGGTGAAGGAAAAACACAACGTCATACTTCTTCGTGTACAGCTTCTTCGTGAAAGTGGTTTTGTTTTACGTTTTCTTGTGAAATTTTTGAAGGACTCAAGGAAAGGAAAACGGCCTCAGTCAACAGCAAGCGGACTTTTTCCGTTTGCCGTTGAAGGTGATACCTATTTCTTCCACTGGCTTTCCTTTGTTAAAAAATAATAATGATGATGACGACGAAGATGATGACGATAAAAACAAAAATAGTAACTTTATTAACCTGTCAAGAAAACTAGCAGAAGAAAATCCCCCTGCTAACAGGGGACCCTTAAGATATCTAAAATAGTAGCTAAAATACAAATGGATGAATTTAAAACAGATTAAATGAAGCTAAATAAAAATTGCATACCATTTATAACCCTCTAAAATCAAAGCTAAGAGGCAAAAGCATTTGACGCATAACTTTATTTAAAGCATTTGACGCATAGCTTTATTTAGCTTCACAAAATACTTTGAATTTCTGAAACATTTGGCCGGCGGGTCTGTGCGACCTGCTTCCCAAACCACTTACCCTATTTAAGACCAAAGTCTGCGATTTTTCTAACCTATTTATGGCCTGACCCTTAAATTAATGCCCTGTTCGTTCAGACCTGCTGTAGTTCTCTAGTTCAAAATGATGTTAAAGGTGTTGTGAATGGCTTTAGTTGCTAGTCTTATCGATAATGATCAAAAGAGTAGCTTCTCCTAAAAAAAACATACCTAATTCAAGACTAGAGTGCAAAAACTATACCCAGTTTGAGACCAAAATGACCAAAATCGATACTCTACTTCTGACTAAAATGTCTTAAAAAAACACGTTCCTCTGACGCTGGTCATACCTATATAGCCGATATAAGGGAGCACCCCCCTCTCCTAGGGCAGAGTCAAAGTGAAGTATGACAAGTAAATACATTTTGAAGCGCGTTGACTGTAATAACTGATACATGTGTAGACAACTTAAATAAATTGGCCCTTTCTCTTTTACAATAGGTTCAGTACTAAACCTCACCTGGACGAAAAAGCCCAGGCTCTTTGTATCCCTAGAAATTCGAACGGCAAAGACGCGGTGGTCATATTGGATGACACAAAGAAAAGAAGTTAGTTAGAAATCTTTTGTTAATGTCATTCAATATGGCGCCGATGACGTCACGTGAAAACCAAGAATTTATTGCAGTAATGACGTAAAAGGCAGCTGGGTCATTGCCATCTCTAGGTTTTAACAGAGTTGTTGGAATATCCAGTCGATAAATATCGGGTAAGTATAACTTAAGAAATATTTGAATCATGAAGGGAGAGGCGTGTTGCTACTTCTCCCTGGAAGGGATGCTCGATACATTGTGGTTAGACTACGAGTAGTCCCTCTTTCCTTAGTCCGTCGTACGTGACGTGAAAGAAAACCGCGAGAAAAAAAACTGGCCGCTTGAAATCTTGAGGGCGAGGAGCGCGCGAAAGGAGCCCCTCCTTTCGCGCGCTCCTGGCCCCCAGGATTTCGCGCGGCAATTTTTTTCTCGCAGTTTTCTTTCGCGTTACGCACGACGGACTAAGCGAAAGAGGGACTACTCTTAGTCTACATTGTGGTTTGC